ATGCTGAAGACACAGTGGTAGAGGAGCAGACCCTTCTAGAAAACATGTTTTCAAACTTCTAGGGTGAGAGGTAGAGCAGGTAGGAATGGCAGCAAAATTCTATGCCTCTTGCTTTCCACAGCCTATATTTTCTTATTTGAAAATTTAGAAAATTCTATCCCCATTTCTCCTTCTTTGAATGGCACAAATAAATACACTACGTAGATTTTTCTGGATTTAAAGGCTCTAGGCGATAACTTTATTACTTCAACCTGAAAATACCAAGCCATTAAATTTTGTCTGGGTAGAATAAATCCCTATGGCCTCCTTTAAAGCAATGTAGGTCTCTGCTGCCCATGGGGCATATCCGTGTCCCAATCCACAATAGATAGGACCAACAAACAATGAATGTGCAACTTACCTTTCTCCTTGGGAAGAAGAAAACATGCACGAAGGAGGGGGGTGGGCAGACCCTGCCTCCCCCCTTCTGCTATCCCCTTTTCTGTCCTGTTTTTTCTAACTTCATTTCACAGGCAGGCTCAGAACAGTCTGAAAATACTAAGACAACATTTGTAAATTTGTGACAATCACTACAATATCCCATATCTATTTTGTTTTGTTTTTTTAATGCTCTTTATCCACTTACACTATCACACACTAGAGCTCCATAATCTTCCAACTCCAGGGAAGAATAAAAATTTTGGCTTATCCTAAGATTCCTTTCTGAGATCATAAACAAGAAATCCCCTTCTATAATCAAGACATGCTTTCTGGTAGCATCAGATAAATTCTCTTCTCCCTTATTGAACTCTTCCCACCCTCTTAGTACTAAGGCTCACCCTGTTTCTCCCTAGAATAGGGGATAAGGAAGGTGATGAAGCTCTGGAACAACTTAACATCCCTGCCCGTTTTCTCAAGAGCCTTTTGTATCCCAGCACATCTGTGCAATCTTATTCACATGACACTGTAGGCTGAGGCCTGAAATAAGTGGAGAGAGAAATGAGTATCAAAAGTTTTCAGCAAAAACTTAACAAAACGTTCATCTTCTTTAGTGTGGATTGGTCTGGAGGTAGGATGGGAGAGCTTGGAATAAGGAAAAAGGAAGAGACTATTTTGAATAAATGTGAATAAATTCATTAGATATGTTTCACAATCAGATAACTTTTTAAAAAGCAGGTCATTTTTTAAAAGTAAAACCTTTGTGAGGATGTAAGCCTTAATACCATCAAATCTTAGTCACAAATTTGAGGAGATTGCCCAATAATATGTTCATGTGTATTTGAACTGAGAAATTGTTAACTACTCTTGCTCCTTCAGGATCTATGAGGCCATTGAAGGGCTGTGGGACCTGGATATCCACATAAATAAATGCATATCTGAAGCCCCTCACATTGTAATAAACACAGCTGCATTTATTTGAGTATGTGCTCCCATGTACATGTAAAAACATTCAAACAAACACACTCCACAGATTTATTTGATTGTGCAATGGGGCAATTATTCAAATAAACATACTCAATGCAATTATTTGAATCTCACATTGCATGTTCATCAATCATTGCACTAAAAATTGAGGGGGAAAAACACCAAAGAATTACATGGGAAAAAATATATGTGAAAACAGCATTATTATAGATTTTATAGGGTAGCTAAAGTTCTGGCTCCCTTCTTAACTGTAACTCAACTATTATGTATTCAAATGACATTTGTTTCTAATTATTAATTAGTTCACTCACTTTATCATTGTGTCAGAATGACCACAACATTCAGATTCCTACATTAGCAAACTTTACAAACTTTTACTAGATAAGGATGTGAAATCTCTATATTTCAGAAGCAGACTAGTTCTTTCCAGATACCTCAGATCAAGGGGATGCTGGTCAAATTATAATGGCTTAAATATACACCTGTGAATCGCAAATCTTTTATACGTGCAACAAAACATTCCTACTTTTGAATATATTAAAACTACAGGTGGCTCATCTGATCATTTTATATATTAATGAATATTACAGCATATATGTGAACACATCACAAATCGTATTGGTGAACCAAGAGGCTATATATGCCTCTCTTAAGTATGTACTGACACAACCTAATATACTAAAATGGGAAGGGGCTTTTAGTCACTGAAATATGCATTGTGTAACAAAGATAAAGAAAATACATGGCTTGTGCCCATCATTAAAAACAGATTCAGACTGAAGGCTTAGCTTTGGTTTTTATTCAATTAAATTGTTAAACTGTGCACAGTGAATTTTTTTTAGAACTTGAGACATTTGTGATGTTGGCTGTTTAAATCTTTGTTACCTTCGCTGTGAAATGAAATTGTACATATTTAGTAAATCATGCAGACAAAACAAACTTTTTAGACAATATTTTTATTGAAGAGTTTTCTTTTCCTGTATCCATGTTAAAAAAAAAGACCTCCTTTCCCAAAATAAAATGTCAATACTAAATTTAAAGAAGTATAAAGGAATGATTGCTTCCTTTAGAGAAAAATATTTAAATAAACATGGAGATAATTGGCAACATGTTCTTTTTTGGGCTAGTAGGCCGTGTCCAATTTTTTGGGTCTGATGTTTTAGAGGGCCTCTGTTTCAGGGTTGAAGATGATATAATAATCTCTGAATTAAAGAAATGCTACTAAGTAAAGAAAATAAATCCCCCAGTCTTCATTTGTATATGAAATATGGAATTAAAGAAATGACATTGATAGGATGCGGAATATGCCACAAGCTAAAACTTTCTCTATAAAAGTCACTTACCACCTAAATCTAGTATGACATGTTCAAATGCTCCAAAATGTGAAAGTGGAAAATGAACATCACTGTTCCCATTTGGCTTTGAGAAGACTATGACAAAGATTTTAATAATTTTAGTCAAAGAAAATGATGACTAAAAAATACATGAAGATTAAAGCAGTGACAAATGATCTTTTAAGTATTCTAATTGATCTTTCTCATTCATAGCTTTGGTTCCACACAAATTGCAAATCCTGATGATCCTGAGTTGTAAGTGTACCCAGTCAGCTTTCTTTCACTCCACAGAATGAATATGCCTGTTACATTTGGAACAAAGGATAAGCCCCCAAAATGTTAAAAATAGACTACTGCCCTGGCATGAAATTTAGTATTGGCAAGCACAGAACTCAGACAGAACTGATCTAACATAAGGAAATATTCAGAGAAAGATTCATGCATTATGATCCTGTTCTGACCATTTTCAGAGCTGTCAAAAGGAAGTGAAGTGTGTGTGTGTGTGTGTGTGTGTGTGTGTGTGTAATAAATTTATGTATGCATTTATGTAGCTTATGTTAAAAGGAACAATACTCAAAGATGGAAAAAGTCTAAATAGGATGTTTTTGAGACATTTTCTATTTTGTTACCTTACCTTAAATTAAAAACAATCAGAACACTGACACTAAAAAAGAAAGTCCTGAAGATAACTTCACAAAATTTGTGACATAACTTATAAGGTATGCAAACAATAGAAAAAATATTAAATTAGTTTTATGTGCTTTACAGGAAACTTAGATTTTAGTTTTTGACCTTATCTCAAACAAGAAAATAATTACTTTCATCTATTCATAAAACAGTCTTATTATAGTGCAAATAATTACAGCTATAGCCTATTCTACTTTTTTTCAGGAAATGACACATACAGACATCAAATTACATAAAAATATGGATGAATAAAAGAATATAAATTTAAAATTAAAATTTAGCATCCCTATGCTCACAAAAACATTGTGATGTATTTAGTGGCCACAAGCAACCTAGACCTTGATCTTACACCTCCTCTGAATCACACCACTTCCAATACAAACATTTCCCAACCCTGGTGCATAAATCAAGAGAGAACACCACCTAGTGAACAACCTCAACCACTTCCTGCCATCCTGAAACATTCCGTGGAGGTCTACCACTTCATTACTGCACATGCTTAGAAAATGTGAGCTCATAGATTTCCAGTTGAAAGTACATCTAAGCAAAGAGGGTGGGAAGAGATAAAAACCATCTTGCTCAACTTGTCTCAACCCATAAAATCCCATGACTGGAATGTTGTAGTTTAAGAATAATCAACCTAACATCTAACTAGACACTTTTCTGCAATATAAAGTGTTTACATATTATCAAAGGCTATTCCATGAAAAGGGACATTTCACTCACTTTGAAATAATTAGTGATAGAAATTGAACATGCTGGCACAAGCCTACAGTGCCAGCTATTCAGGAGGCTGAGGCAGGATGATTGCCACAGACTAGGCAATTTAGTGAGAACTTCAGTCACATTTAAAAAAAAATTAAGAGTGGGAATGTAGATTAGTGGTATAACAGTTGCCTAGAGTGTGAAAGCACTGAGTTCACTTCCTAGCACCATGAGAACCGCTTAATAAGTTCTACCTCGATTTTGAAAATGAAAAATTAGAATAATGACTTGCACAAATATTTCTTCAGGAATTTTCATAATGCTTTGAGTTTGATGTCACCTACAAATCAGCCTATGTCAGAAACTCCTTTATGGCTTGATTCAATTATAACACACGCTGTATACATTAAATTGTCAAAAAATCTTTCTCATTCTGCAATAAAACTTTCCTATAAGTTGAGTAGGAAAAATCCCTTTAAATTTGTACACTTGCAAAGAAAAGAAATTAAATCTATCATCTAAATGATACAGATGAAGAAAGTTAGGTCTATCTATATGTCCTTGAGAAGATAGTCATTGTTTGGTTTTGCCACACGATGATCTACAAAGCAATTAGGCACAGACTGTCAGAATCCCAGCCTTGTGAAAAGCTGTTCTGTACTCTTGCCTATGTAACAAAGCGAAACATTCCTTCAAATGTCTGTGGAAACATCAAAAGGCATGAGTTGGCTTCACTACTTCCTGCAAGAAGTTCATTCTGTTCTCTAAGAACGCTTCACGCAAGAATGGAATGAAAATAATCTACTTTGGAAACCTGTGTTACTCTAACATGATACATCATCTGAGGGCTATTAACCAATTTCTTGTCTCCTTTAAGAGCCAGAGACATTCTTAAATTTGAGGAATATCTTAAAAACTTAACTGCTATTAATACATTTTCCCCAGTTTTCTCAAAAGATCTTGACAATTTTCACATCTCCTGAGGAGCTACAGTTCTAGTATAGGTTCTCCAACAACATTTGTTAGCCCAAGTCTACTTCCCAAGCCCTCAGTACCATTCTTTCCTTAGCCATGACTTTTCTTCTATATAGGGAATGACAAAGACATGACTGGAGACGGCAGCAAGTATACACAGTGACTGGAACAGCAGGAGATTCATTAGTCTCCCATGGGAGTATTGGGATATGTGCAGAAAGACTATAGAAGGTTAGAGTGGAAATGTTAGACACCCTCTCGTCCAAAGTCTTAGACCTTGGAGCCCTGGAGTTGAGAAGAAATAAAATGCCACATCAGACAGAAATGGAACCAGAAGTCATGTCTCCCCTTACAGCACAATTGTTTTTATTGCTTCACTTAATGTTCACATTATTTCCATGACATTTGTATTCTATTACTTTTAGTTATCCTGAAAACAATACTAGTAATGGTTAGACATTAATAATAGTTTGGTTTATTGGGGCCCTACCATGAATACAGGACGATACTAAAGACTGTGATAAAGGTGAACCAGATAGCATTACTGACCTTAGATTTCCCATAATCTGGCAGAGGAACATACACAAATAAGTATAATAATGAGTTCCAGGTACTTTGGGGACTGTACCTATGCATACATAAGTCACAAGCATACACCTTCTATATCAAGGAGCTTCTTCTAATTAAACACAAAGTAACACCATTCCCTCAATAATATTTCTATAGATGAATCCTGTGACATGGAACAGAGGCACTGTGGTAAATAGACAATATTTCCAACTTTAGGGATGTATACTGTAGTAGAGAAGATGGGGAAAAAATGATCCTTGTAGGCAGGGCTATTGTTTGAAAGTAAGCAAAACTGATAGGTTAGAGAGTGAGGTAGAAGTGAGGGGCAGGCGATTTCATCTGGGGAAGGAAGGTGATCAGGAAAGGCCTGTGTGAAATAGTGGCAGTTCAGTTGCACTTAAAGGATGAGAAGCGAACCATAGGAAGATTTAGAGTGAGTGGTCCAGGGAAAGGGACCTGCAGTGAGAATGGGTCTGCTTTTTCACAAATAAAAAGAAGCTCTTCTGCTATAGTCAGGATATGTAAGGAAAAAGTTTTAATACATGATACGTAATTTATAGGATTATTTTATATTATTCACCCAGAATCAAATGCAAAAGTTCAGGAGACCTAACCATACACAAGAGGCCCAAAGAATCCAGCTGAGGGCCTGGATCCCACAGCAGTGTCCTGCATGAGTCCAGCTGGACACCCAGAATCCATAATGGTGTTTCCAGGACTCCAACTAGAGGCCTAGAGCCCACGACAATGTCCCATGCAAGTCTGTTTCACATGTCTGCTCTGGGAAGGCCCAAAGATCAGTGGCAGAAGCTAGAAAGTCTGCACCAGCAGGGCGAAGGTTCTGCGCCTGCAGACTGGGGGATCTGTGCTGCAGCCTGGGAGCCACACTCAAGGTAAGGACCAGAGCTGCCCCAAGTGTAGTTGCTGCCATCCTCAGTGATGTCCTCCAATGATGAGATGAGCTGGTAGAGAATTCAGAGAATTTTATTTTATTTTTTTTTAATATTTATTTATTTTTATTTATTACATTTATTTATTGTGTGTGTGTGTGGCCAGCTCAGCCCACCAGGGGGTTGTGGTGCCGGGGGATCGAACCGAGGTCCCTGTGCTTTGCCAAGCTTGTTTCAAGTAGGTGCTTTAGACCACTGAGCCATCTCTCCAGCCCTCAGAGAATTTTAAAGAGCAAGTTTTCTTAGGGAGCTTTGGTCCCATGCTATGTTTTTATAGGTGAGAAGACTGAGTTTATTAATCTTGGAATTTCACACCATTGGAAGTCTGAATTGGTGGGTTATTATTCTTACAAATCTATTTCTGGCCTACTCTTAATTTTCTCCCCTGTAAACAGATAGGAACTTAACATTCAGTAGTCCTTTGATTTGCGAATGAATGAAACTTCATTCCTCAGACTTTGTAAGACCACCTGCCTGCTGTCTGGTCACAGGCAGATCTGTCAGACTGGAAAGCAGAAATTGTTTGGCCCAAAGAAAGTTTGTATTTTGGAAACTAAAGCACTAGATACAGCAAACAGGATGCTGCTGCCTTGCATTACCAAGGAAGAACCTTCCCCAATCAGCATGTTCCAGCACAATCCCCACTGTTGCCAGTTTGCTTGAAACAGCTGTGCTAGAATCAGGCATGAGCAAGGGCCTCAGCCATTTCCCCTTCCTCTGAACTTCTAAAAAATACGCAAACTCACAGAACGGTGAGAGAAGCCAATAAGAAGTAAGGAACATGCAGCAGGTGGTACCATCTGTGCCCGGCTAATTCCAGCCAAAACAATCTGCTCCCTAGAGCTCCCAGTTGTGGAGAAGGGAAGAGAATCTGA